TTCAAGAGGGCCATTTACCTGATACCCATTCTACTCAAACCTTCCTGCTTTTCTTCTATTCAAACTTGAATAGAGATTAACAGCATTGGAGCTCTCCTGCAGAGTAGGACAAGCACTCCTAGGAGGCGAGCATGCAGGCACACACCTCCTGAGAGTGAGGCACTGCGAAACTGCTTGCTGCTGTCAGGATACACAAAAAGTAGGGAGCGGATTGAGGATTGGATGCACATTGTTTCCAGTGGATTGGATGCAGCTCCACATTTTTATAATCACATAGGGCTCTATTTACTAGTGTCAGTTTGGAGTGGTTGCTTAATGAGCTGATTAGCACCTCATTGCTGTAGATGCACCAATGAGATACAAATATTGATCAGTAGGTAGGCTGATGGCAAGAAGTGGTTGTTCTCAGGCCATGATCAAAGGGAGACCCTTGCTATGCTGACACACTGAGAAATCAGCCTCCTTTTGCATTTATTAGATGGTTAACTAGGATTAAATTAAGTTCTAGGAGACAAATTCTCCCCTACTGTTTAGGAAAGGCAAATCCCTTTAAAGTCCATCTACAAGATAGGCTGGGAGGGGGCACTTTGATATAAAGTTTCAGTATATGTATTCTTTATAAGGCTACCACTATTGAGACTGTGACAAAAACAAATTAGGCCCAATAGTCTATATGGGGTTGGGGGGGGGGTATGCTTCTACATGCAACTGGGAGTCTGTTTGTGCTATGAACCACAATCTGTATCAATCACAGCTTTGCCTGGGTCAACACTACAAAATTATTCAGAGGGGTAGCTGAGTCAGTCTAACAGGAAATATTAAAAAAAAACAATCAATAGTCTAGTAGCACCTTAAAGACTAATTGCATTGCTCGGGGCATGGCAAATTGTAGTTCTATTAGTGCAATGTTGATGGAAGGGCTTCTCCTGTTGAGATAATTACCACTTCTCAGAGAGGTGGAGTACAGCTCTCCTGTCCCATAGTTATCAGCTTCACTAAGATCTACAGTGGTGCAGTTGCTGCTGATCCATAAGTGTAGGCAAGCTGTTTGCTTCTGTAAAGGTTAGGGATTTGTATACTACTATCCACCTATGGCTATAACCAACACAAGCAGTTCATCCCAAAATATAGAAGAGCAAGCAGGTCAATTAAGACAGTTCCTCTCCAGCACCATTCACATATTTAAACTTCTGTGCTTTGAGTAATCAAGGACGTTGGCTGCTGGCTATGCAGAACCCATCTCTTTTTGGCTTTCCACTTTTCCTGAAATAATAATAATAATAAAAAAAAAAACCACCTCCCCTTTCTCATTGGTACCTGCCCTTCCTTTAGGCACATTGCTGACATGCTGTGTTCACAACCCTGTCTGCTTGTAAGAATCAGGGAACTCTACCCATACATTACACTCCTACCAGCACTGGTCTTGGGTCTTAATCCTTTGTTCTCATGGTTTGTGGTATCTGAGGTTTAGCAGAATTAAGGAAGAGGAGAGAATAGTTTGGAGTAGGGGAAAAAATAAGATTTAAAAAAAGTTTAAGTCAGGTACAATGTCAGGAGAGTTATGAACCGTCTTCCACTCCTCTTGGGAAAACTAATTGTAAACACAAACAAAACTGTCATTTTACTA